AGTTAAATTTACCCTGATCTTCAAATTCAAAAAGTTTTCACCCCCCATACAGTATATATACAGTATAGTAACATACAGTGTGTATATATATAATCAAAAACATCCATTAATGCTCATACTGCATATCCTTATTAGAGACTTTGAACTGATATGTATTATACATTTCCATCAGCATCAACAAACAACAAATTGCCTCTCAATTGGATTTTGCACTGTGAAGCTAAATTGATTTATGATGGACACTTTCAATCATCTGAGCTCTGGTTGCTGGATATTTGCCAGTCATCAATGTGGGTCGTAATAAATACTAAACCTGGACTCAAACTGCTGCTGTATTCAGTGTCAGAAAAAATTGTCTTAACACGTTTTCAATCTCTCTGTCCATATTTGATTACGCTTCACTTTAAAATGATCTTAACCACATTACAGATGTCTACTGCAGGCATCAGGACAAACAGGAGGCATATGTTTCTATCTTTAGCCTGTCGATGACTATTGAATTTCATTTCCTGTCATAAGGGAAATGATTTCAATCAAGCAGGGTAGTGTTTGTTACAGCCCTTCAAACTATTTCCACTAATGTTCCTGGTACTCATGTACAGTAGATATTATACCAAGTGCTCAATGGTGAGTGTGAGCATGCAATCATCATGGTTCACTCTCAGCTTTATGTCTCATTTTTTGTCTTAGATGAATCTTAGATGGAGATCACATAGTAGACGGCTTTAGCAGAGCAATATGAAAGGACTTTTCCACAAATTTAAAGAGAAAGTGGTGAAACGGGGGTTTCAGGGGAGATTAGAGTCAAAAGTAACCTTTGTGAAAATCCAGAGTGCTGTTCGCTCAGGAAAGCTCATCAGACGAGGATTGGTGTTGACAGTCGAAGTGGATGTGATGGAGTTGCCCTTGAGATAGTTTTTTACCTGCCCATCCCCCATCTATTTCTGCTCATCTTGTCACTCCAGCTCTAAAACCATCTTTGCTTTAGTGTTCATCTGCAACATCTGTCTCTGCACATCATGCGGCGCTCAGGAATACATACATAGATATGCATGTTAGTGATGTGCAAAACGGTTTTATATTCAGCCCAGTTTTAAAACGTCCACCAGACCCTGATTAGATGCTAAAAGGATGTTCACACAGCATGCATTCTTGCTTTTAAAAGGAACTCAATAGAATGAAACAAAACGCAAGGGTCTCAAGATGTTTTAAAAATTGAACTATTTTTAACATGACACATCTTCCTAAAAACTCTCATAATTGCCTAGAAATGTATTGTTGAATGCTGTGAATCTGTTACAAAAGCGGTGCTTTGATGGGTGCAGTGGTGGTGCTTTAAAGAGGATGAATTTAGAGATGCAACTTCTCAGAGAGGATTTTAGCATGCTGGCAGTTCAGCACACTGTCAGCAAGCTAAAAATCCTGTTTGAGAAGCCCTCTGTATTTTTTTTTTTAATATTACAGATAAAAAAGACAATAACAGAAAAACTTCTGACCTATTTCTAATGTGTGTATGCTGGTTTTGTCAGACCACTGAAAGCTGATTTTAAGTGATCCATGCACAGTGATTTGAATCATCTTTGCTCATGCGAGTGAGATGTGGGTGGTGAGAACAGAGAGGTGTAGTTACTGTATGCGTTCTTGGTTGCTAAAGTATGACAAATCAACTAAATCAAATGATCAACTTCTTAGCAACCATCATCCAATTTAAAATGCCATGCAACCGACGGCCATGCAACCGATCAAAACAGACGGCAGTGGTGTCATGTTGAGTGACTTTGACATGCTGGTAGATTTAGAGTATATTTCTGCCAAACTTGTTGCTATGATACATTTCAGAATTGAAACTGCTGTTATATGTACTTATAACCCATAGCTATTAAAAAAGTGTTACTCTACTGATTTAAATAGAGTATTAGTTTTACTGGGTCTCTGAGAGTTAAAGGGATAGTTCACCCAAAAATGAAAATTCTGTCATTTACTCACCCTCATGTCATTCCAAACTTGTATGACTTTCTTCTGTGGAACATAGAAGATATTTTGAGAAATGTCACAGTGTTCATACAATGGAAGTCAATGGTCAGCAAAACTGTTTGGTTACCAACATTCTTAAAAATATCTTAGTGTTCCACAGAAGAACGGAAGTCATAAAGATTTGGAACAACATGGGGAAGGGTGATAGAATTTACATTTTTGGGGTGAACTATCTAGGGCTGTGCGATTTGGGGGAAAATATCAAATTGCGATTTTTTTGACAGATATTGCGATTGTGATTTGATTTGCGATTTTAAATTTGCAAAGTCAAGCTTCAGCTCAATATTGTCAATAATGTGCAGCACAGTATGGGTATCATTACCCTGCTAAAAAAAAAAAAAACAATAGAAACCATCACAGAAATTCTTATAGTTTCCATTAAACCATTACAAAATTGTAATGGTTTTGTTTTGGGCATTATTCCAATAGGAATTACTGTTGTTCTATTGGTTGCCATCTGCCAGATTACATCCCACCAATAGAATCCATCAAATAGACACCATTATAGTTTACATTAAAACCAAACAAATTCCCATTATAACCCTGAAATCCATTAAATTTGTTATTGTGTTTTGGGAGGGGTTCTATTGTTTTTTTTTCAGCAGGCAAGATTATAATGGTATAACTCTGTCATTTCGAAGCTTAAGTTGCATACGGTTTTCTTTAGTTTTAATTTGCCTAACTATCGATCTGACCCAGTAGACGCCATAATCCCACTCTTGTCTGTCTCCCGTCCCGCTTTCCGTTTTTTTTTTTTAATGTTGGGTGTTTACGCAGTTGGCTAGAGCAGTGCTGATTGGGGAGAACCGGGGCAAGACTGCAACTCAAGGCTGGCAGTCATGCATATGCTCTGAAACAGAGTAATATCGCGTCTACATCGCAAGCTTTGCGATTAGGAAATCACAACGTATCAAATCGAGATTTCGATTCGATTTCGATTAATCGCACAGCCCTAGAACTATCCCTTTAAGAGAAAGCAAGCTCTCTGTAAATGCTCAAGTTTGGGAGAAAGACTAAGGCTGATGATACACAGGGCAAATGTTTGAGCAATTTTGCTGGGCAACTTTTTTGATCAATGTTGCTTGGGCACTTTGCCATTGAGAATGGGTAACACATTTCTATCTGTCTCACCTGGTTGCCCGTTGACGGCAACATTGCCCAAAGTTGCCTGGCAACATTGCTCAAAAAGTTGACCCATATATCATCAGCCTAAGATTGCATTTTCTGTTCTATACACTGAAAAAAAAGGTACAAAAGCTGTCACTGGAGTGATACCTTTTCAAACGTTATTAATGTGGACAATTTGGGTGCTAATATGTACACTTTATAATGTACCAAATATGTAACTTTAAATTGCACCTTTTACGGGTAAGTAAATATGGTACAAAAATGTACCTTTTGAAAGGGTACCATCCCAGTGACAGATTTTGTACCTTTTTTTTCTAAGAATGAATTGATAGACTTTAGAGTTAGTTTGCCCAAAAAATTAAATTATGTTATCATTTACTCACCCTTATGTAGTTCCAAACCCCTTTTTATACTCTTTCTCTCCAGTGGAACACAAAAGTCAAAACATAAAAAGATGTTTAGCAAAATGTTCACACTTCTCTTGTTCATACAGTGAACTAAATTAAGTATATTCAATTCCATTCCATAAATTACAAAAAAAAAGTACAAAAAAAGTATTTCTATGTACTTTACAGCTTTCTTCAGCATCTATTGAATTTAAAAGTCCAGTAAACAATCACAGTGTGTTTAGCTCATTCTAACCTGCAGCAGTGTTGTGGCCTGTGGCTATTTGGGGTTGGTAACCATGGTAACAAGTCCCATGGTGTCTTCGAGAGTGTCACCTGGAAGATCAATCCATTTGCTTACTTTTTCCTCATAAGATGGAGGAGGGTAACCTAACTCAGGGGTAAATTTTCATCTCCACATGCGCTGACCTTCTCTTGACCTGCATAACTCTTCAGTAGTTTTGGCTTGGAGCCATCAGTGTGTTTGCCAGCAGGACAGTTTCAGCTGCACTCAACTGAATCTCTCTGTTTGTTTTGATATTGAATAGGCTCATGAGGTTATCTATATTGATGGATATTTACAGATGATGAATGTATATTCTGTTCTGTGCAGAGTCAGCCCCGCCCACCCCTCAGACCACAGACCCGCCCCCTCCCTCGTGGCAGCCGCTGGCCAATCACGGTGAGGCAGGCAAGTACTGCTGCTTGTGTGGCGCCTGGTTTAACAACCCACTGATGGCACAACAACATTACGAAGGCAAGAAACACAAGAGAAATGCGGCGCGGGCGCGACTGTTGGAGCAGCTGGCTGGCAGTCTGGATGCCAATGAAAGCACAGGTCAGTCTTCAATCGCCTGAGTCATAAATGTCATGTGATTAATCACATTTGGAGTCACACAAAACTGTCATGATGACACTGATTGTCTAATGGTGCCACAAGAATACACACAGTTCCAAACCCTTCACGTGACGTCGATGCAGACAAATGAATAAATAAAATAAAACGTTCTCTTTTATTAAGAGCATCCAAAAATAATAATTCACTGGGAAAACAGTTATTGACAGTTATATGTATATATATATATATATATATATATTTATTTTTTTGCCATTCCTAATAATACGAATGTCCAAAAAACTAACACATGAATCATCATAATTAACTGTAAAATGTAAGTGTTCATCACTAGTGTTAAGAAAACTGTGAAATTGTAGCAGTTGATTTTCAGTACCTGACCATAACATAAAAATATCATCAATATACCTTCGCCAAAGTGCAATATTTGAGAGAAAGGGATTTTGTAGACCATTAAAAATTAATTTCTGTTCAAAGAGGTCCACGTACAAGTTTGCATAATTTGGGGCCATGGTACTACCCATGGCAGTACCCTTAATCTGAAAAAATAAATCATCATCTTTGTATCTGAATTTTTTTTTTGTCAACACCATTTTAGCTAATGTTTTAATGCAATTAACACTAGGGTTTTTATTTTGATGTGGGTCTCTAAGAAAGACTTCTATTGCCTCAATCCCTCCTTCATGTAGAATGTTGGTGTATAGAGACTCAGCATCGAATGTTACAAACAATATTTCATCAGGTAAATCAATCGTTTTTTTTTTTTAATTATCATATCGATAGAGTCTTTTACAAAGGAGGGCAATGTGAATACAACTGGCTTTAAGAAAAAAATTCACAAATGTTGAAATTTTCTCAGTAAGAGACCCGATTCCAGATATAATCGGTCTTCCTGGAGGATTAGTAAGGTCTTTATGTATTTTGGGAAGTATATAAGCATATAAGATATAAGCATTCAAAACTTGCAGTTCGTCACTTCCGCCAAAACGGCGCAGTGAAGTACGATTTTTTTGACGTCACATCGTACTTCAGCTTCTCATCAAACTTTCTGTCCAATCAAATGCTCTCTAGAATCCGAAGCACCTGCCCCCTACACTATAAAATAGATGCTGAAGCCGCGGCTGAAATCGGTCACTTGTCCACAGAATTAGTATTTTCAGTACAGTGAATGGCACGTAGTGCACTATATAGGGGACAGGGAACGATTCAAACAGTGTAAATATGCTTTCCATTGAGGAAAAAAAGAAGTCTGGTTTCACGCTGTCACGCTAACCACCGGTGCACACACACTCTACTCCGGTCCAGAGACACGACAGCACGGAACGGATCACATGCGCAAGTCGGTGCAGTCCACAAAATATATCGGAGCTATTTGAATTCTACACAGAATGCTATATTTTATAGCAATATGGATGAGATTGTGGCTGGCATACCC